ATTTAACAGTTCACGAATTTTGAATTCAATCTACTTCCTGGATAGTGAATGAACCACAATAGAATAAATACACTCTTTAAAGTTCGCTATATTTATTTACCATAGCGACACTTCGGCGCTAGGCTCACTTCAGCATTACATCTCAATCAATTTTTAACTCACAGTGCACAAAAATTATGTCATCTAAAAAATTACCATAAGTTGTGTTGAAATACTGTAATAAATCTAAAACAATATATAAAAGAAATTAAACAAATAAAAAAGAATACTATAATAAATCTAAAACGATATATAAAAGAAATTAAATAAATAAAAAAAGAAACAATTTTCTGCAGACGATTCAGCGTCGCTTACCTAATGCACATGCGTTACTAATTAATTCAGTTCTCACTTTCAGGCATGGCAAAAATACAAAAAAAAATTTAATATTTTCATTAAAATTTGAAAGATACAGAAAAACATAAAACACCAAGTACAGTTAAAACAATTAAAAAACTTTTACAATTAAAATTGCAGTTTCAACGCAAAAACAAGCTAATAACTTAATGATAATTCCAGAATGAATTAAGCATAATTTAATAAGCAATAATAAAAGCTTTGTTGTTACGAAGCTTAGTTTCTTTAGATTGGCAACAAATCGTTTTCTGCTAAGTTTCAAATGTAAATAAAAATGGCGGCCACAGTATTAAAAAATTAGGCTTAGCCGAACTTAAAACAACTTTTCAATTGTTGATAATTCCACAATTATTGCATGCAGGTTAACTAAAGCCATAAAAATCTTAACAAGAACAATACAATTCAATCATTTTTAAAACAAAAAATGCACAATTTACAAAAATATAAGAATAAAGAAACTGAGATCACTGAGCAGAGTACCAGAATGGATATATATATATATATATATATATATATATATATATACCGTTACGAATTTGGTATTTAAAAAGCTAATGTTAGTTCAATTATAAATTAAATGGTTTTATTTCTCGCGCAGTGCAGCGCGTGACGAATATTAAAAGAAAGCTAAGCCGGAAAATTGAAAATACAAGAGCACGTGCATTAAATATTTTGATTTCGAGAAAGTACTGGAAAATTCTAGCGCGTGATTTTGAAATCTTATAAAAGGAGGAAAACATCTCAGTTTGTAGTTCGTTGCTTAGTTTGTTGTTGTTTAGAAAACTACTGTTGTTGATTGTAGCGAATTCGCGGATTAGCGTTCTTTAGCTGTTTTGAATTACATTCTATTGGACATTTGAGTAGTTAAAAGAAAACTACTGTGAGATATTGTAATACTGCGTGATAATTTGAGAAAATTTAAGCATTTTTGTTGTGATAATAATAAATTTTTTTTCATTTTTTTTATCGGACTTGTGCATTCATTTCATAACGAACCCGTACGCGCACGCAACAATTTTTGGTGTGAGAAGTGGGTTTTGAATGCCAATAACAAGAGCGATGGAAGAGCAATTAAGGCATTTAATATCAGCCTTTGCCTCATTTAAAGAAGAAATTAAAGAGGAAATGAAATTGGGCCAGGAATCCGTTAAGGAAGAAATGAAATTGGGGCAGGAATTCGTTAAGGACGAAATGAAAGCCGTTCAAGCTGGTCAAGAAGAAATGAAAAGAGAAATTACTTGCATAATAGAAAATAAATTTGAAGCTATGGAAGGCAGAATTGACGCAGTTGAAAATAAAGTTGGACATATTGAAGAAAAAGTTTCTTCCGTAAAAGATCATATTGAAGAAAGAGTTTCTTCGGTGAAAGAAGAAATAGAAGAAAGAGTTTCTTCTGTAAAAGAACATATAGAAGGGAAAGTTTCTGCTGTGGAGAACGAATTGAAGGAAGAGTTTGTGCCGTCCAACACCAAATCGAACAACAAATTGATGAGAGAGTTTCTGCAGTTGCCAAAGAATGGATACTTTAAAGAAATTCGTAGCGTCGGCAGGAGCAGGAGTGATGATTTTAAATTCTTACCAATGCCTGCTCGTCCACCTCTGAAGCTATCGACATATGATGGGAAGACCTCCTGGCAGGTGTATAAGACACAATTTTCTATCGTGGCGGATGCGAATGGATGGGATTCCCAAGCTAAGGCCTGTCATCTCGCCGCTTCTCTAAGAGCCGACGCAGCGGATATCCTTCAACTCTTCCCGAAAACAAAAGGTTAGATTTCGAAGCTCTGTCCGGCGCCTTGGAGCTGCGCTTTGGGGAGAAGTGTTTAAAAGACTACAGCAGGCTCCAATTAAAATCTCGTCAACAGAAGCCTACCGAAACACTTCAGGAGCTCGCCACGGATGTTGAAAGGCTGTCCCACCTCGCCTTTTTGGAGTGCCCGACAGAAACAAGAGAAATCCTGTCGCTGCAATATTTCATCGACGGCATCCGGGATCCTGAAATACAGAAAGCTCTTCGAATGGCAGATGTAAAGGACATAAAAAGCGCTCTGTTGTACGCCATGAAGTTCGAGGCAGCCCAGCAAGCAACTAATAGAGATCGCTACCCAGTTAGAGCTGTGCGAGTCCATGAGCCAGTGGATCAACTGATGGCTCGTTTAGATGATTTAGCCAGACAAGTCGACGCTTTGATACGGAGTAGGAGGGAGAAGAAAGTGGCTCTAAGGTGTTGGAGATGTGGTAGTGAAGGTCACCTAAGACGGAATTGCAGAACACCCCAGGGTACGGAATATAAAGCAGTGATTTTACCAGACAAGTCAGTGGCTTGAGAAAGAACATAAGTGAAAAGAAACTAATTCTAAAATGCTGGAACTGCGGAGTTGAAGGCCACATACGAAAAAATTGCAGAACATCCCGAGGTACGGAAAATAAGACAATTTCCCCAGCAAAGACGCAGTAAACAAATTAGTCACCATATCGAGGAACGGAGGTTGTTCAGATAATGAAAAACCTTGTTTTAAAGCGCTTAAAATTTATACAGTGAGTGGCAACAGTAACGGAATGTCCATTAATGGGAATATCGATGGAGTTCCTTGCGATATGATCATTGACACAGGAGCTAATGTTACCATCATTAGGAAAGATTTCGCTGAACAGTTTAAAGATAAACTTATTTGGACGCCATCCTGTGTTACCCTTCAGACTGCGTCTGGTGATAATATCGACATAACTGGGAAGTTAAACGTGAAAATCACATTTGGAAGTGCCGCCTACCATCACACGGCATATGTGGCGGATATTACAGATCCATGCATACTCGGATTGGACTTTTTAAGGAAATACAATTTTTACTTAGACTTGAAAAACAACAAACTGCTTTCAGGATCTGAAGACATGACTATCCATCCTAAGAAGGGATCCTCACCTGGAAATGCCGACGCTTTGTCCGAAAGAACCAGCTCGAGAAACAGCCGAAATCATGCTAGGGTCGAAAAGAAACACCAGACTACCAGCTATTCTCCATCTCAGATGCTCTTCGGTCGAGACCTTCGTCTGCCTTGTGACCGCCTGTTTCATCGCCGTACGGATGCGCCTTCATCGCCTGAGGAACACATCCAAGATGTCAAGGCCCGTTTTGAAGTGATGCACCGTTCCGCACGAAAGCGAGTGAACTTGGCGACGGAGAAAGTGAAGACCAGATACAACGCGAGAGCTACTGGACATAGATTCAACAAAGGAGACAAGGTGTGGTTGTGGAACCCGATTCGGCGAAAAGGAGTCTCAGGCCTGAATTACAGTCACCTTCGGGATGGTCCATGCACACAGTCCTGAAACAGACTGAGTGACGTCATGGTTCGGATCCGTGAGTCTTCGAACTCTAAACCTAAAGTCGTTCATTACGACATGGTTAGCTCACTTACTATGGCCATAGTACATAATGTAAATAATTGTAAATAGTATGAAGACCATGGTCATTTTTGTTTTAAATGTGTATTTGATTTGATTGTATTTGTATTTTGATTTGTATTTAGTATCTGATAGCATTTGATTTGTTTAAGTTAGTTATTGCATTTATTGTTCATGTTGTTTGATATTGTGATGTAATGTTTATGTCTCAGTTGCATTTATGCCACAGTTGTAAGTTTAGCTTCCTGTCCAGGGATTGTACTGCCCGGGACGTGCAGTCCTTGGAAAGGGGGCAATGTTACGAATTTGGTATTTAAAAAGCTAATGTTAGTTCAGTTATAAATTAAATGGTTTTATTTCTCGCGAAGTGCAGCGCGTGACGAATATTAAAAGAAAGCTAAGCCGGAAAATTGAAAATACAAGAGCGCGTGCATTAAATAAATAAATATCTCTTTTTGATTTCGAGAAAGTACTGGAAAATTCTAGCGCGTGATTTTGAAATCTTATAAAAGGAGGAAAACATCTCAGTTTGTAGTTCGTTGCTTAGTTTGTTGTTGTTTAGAAAACTACTGTTGTTGATTGTAGCGAATTCGCTGATTAGCGTTCTTTAGCTGTTTTGAATTACGTTCTATTGGACATTTGAGTAGTTAAAAAGAAAACTACTGTGAGATATTGTAATACTGCGTGATAATTTGAGAAAATTTAAGCATTTTTGTTGTGATAATAATAAATTTTTGTTCATTTTTTATCGGACTTGTGCATTCATTTCATAACGAACCCGTACGCACGCAACAATACATATTTATATGCTTTTGGTGCGGCCGATTGCAACCAAAATATGAGCTGCACATCTGCATATTCTAACAGTTTCTACGTACAAAATTTCAACGTTCTGAGACTAGTCTTTTTGAGTTATGCGGGGTACGTACGTAAGCACAGATGCCACGAAAAAATTCTTTTCAGTATTCATTTTAAAGCAGTTTTATAATTTTTTTTGGTTGGATCATTTATTCTGTCCTTACGTACGGATATCACGCAGAAGCATCGCTAAATTGCATTCGATAGCGGTCAAAATGCGTATTTTCGTTGAAATATGATGCCCGAAATTTTTCGCGATTACAATACTTCCTTTTTACTTCGTACAAGGAAGTAAAAATGAAAATCTTCTGCAGTCTTATGTTTGGTCTTTCTCTTTCCAGAGTAATTGCCAACTATATGATGTGGACGGTTGTTCAGCAGTCCTTTTCATTATTATCGAATGACTGGCGGAATCTACCTCAGGAATATTTTTCAGTCATCTCAGGAAAAAGCAAGGAAACACCTCGTTGGGAGCATTGTGTTTATTCTATTAAAAAGTATTTTGGTTTGGCCGTAGACGCTTATTATAAAAAAAACTACGCCGATGACAGCACTGAAGAATTCGTAAGTGCTAAATGCATTTTTTAAACTTGCATATGCATAGCTCACATATTTTGACAGTTTTATATTTGCGCGTTTTGGCTACTTCTAAAAATGAATGTCTTCTATGAATTATTTTATTATGAGTTGAGCAAAAGGCAAATATGCTATTTTTCGTAGTGAATATGGTTGTGAAAAATTCTCTAATAATGTAACACTATCAATATCTAAACTTATGCGAGTGAAATGCTTTTGAATTATAATGAAATCTACTAAATTATGCTGTTACGCAAAATTTTTAAATATAAAATTATGCATAGCAGCAACCTTAGCTTTCCGTAGATTTGGAATAAAGCATTATCATTTCAACATTCTATCAGACACTTCTTTCTTCACTCAGACACTATCAGATCTCCTTTCTTCAGGAGCAAAAATATTTTTGCAAATGTTGTTTATCTCTTGAGCAAGCATTTTCCCCTTCCTGAAGGAGAAAATGTTTGCTCCAAGAGATCTGCATCTGACCGCCCTTTAAATCGATATAGTGTTTCACAAAATTGACACTGACAAATTAAGATTTTTTTGGTTGCATTGTATGTTTTACTTTGGTACGTTTCGCTTCCATTTAATTCTTAAAATAGCCAGGTTACATATATAAATTTATATATTTGATCAATATTAAAGGAATTAACATATGTAGATAACATGCTCAATGAACAAGTGAAACACATGTAAACACAAGCGAAACACATGGTTCGAATTTCTACCTAGACTGCTTCGTAAAAACAAGAAACTCTACAATGGCGGCATAAAAAATATTGTGGTGCAGTAATCGAATCTGCTACCCAAAGCCCTGTTGTAATCCAGAGTTGAAATGCACTTCTAACTCAAGTTTTAACAGTAACAGGAATTTTAATTAAAAAAAATGAATAGTTGCTGTTAATGATGATGTGGGACTGGGATACATCCAGTCCCGTAATTTCAGAAGTTTGTTAAACGGGAATGTTTGCGATGAACAGCATACACGAAGAGTCATAGTTCTAGCGGGGGAAAATGCCCATTCCTGTTGTAATCCAGGGTTGAAATGCACTTCTAACTCAAGTTTTAACAGTAACAGGAATTTTAATTTAAAAAAATGAATAGTTGCTGTTAGTGATGATGTGGGACTGGGATACACCCAGTCCCGTAATTTCGGAAGTTTGTTAAACGGGAATATTTGCGATGAACAGCATACACGAAGAGTCATAGTTCTAGCGGGGAAAAATGCCCATAGCGCTAGCAGCTCTAAAAAATACCTTCCTTTTCTCGCTGCCAATAACCTTCCTAACTCAGGGTTTCGTTACCTCACCCCCGGAGGGGGGAGAAATTCCACAACTCGGACATGCCAAAGGTGGCCACATTCAACGCCACCTAGAGTACAAGGACAGAAAGCTCCCTTATGAGTCATCCCATTTAGGCTACTGAAGTTACGTTAGTGCAAAGACCAAATAGTTTTGGAAACAACTTACAATCCATTTTTTTTACTGTTGACGTTTCTTTTAATTTATTAATTACTTTCCTCCTTTAAAGAACTTGCAATCTTGATTTTTAAATTTAAATTTAATTCTTTTTAAAGTAAATACTAATCAATTAAAGTTACGTTTCAGCACAGCAAATGTTAAAACTACTTTTTTCTGAAAGGTGTGGTAATTATTATCAAAACTATATTATATATTTTTCACATACATTAACTATACTTTCACCTTATTTAAAATATTTTAAATAATGTCAGACATAGAACTTTAATATTGACAACACAATCTAATGTAAAATCATTTGTAAAGAAAAAATTCATTTCACTGAAACAGTTCAAACTATTTTGGCAACAACAAACTTTCTGATTATTATTTTAAGAAAGCAGCTATATTTAGTAGTTTTTGAGCTTAAACAGTTGGAAGTAATTGCTTTTAAATAAATAAGTTATCCCAATTCTTGCAACATCACATATTCGAAATGTTACGGATTTTAAGGTTATGAGTCCCCTTAAAAGTCCAATCCGAATATTTTAAAATGGCAAGGATCTGTATGGATTATATGGCTGCCAAAAATCTGATACGAAAATTTACAATTTTTTTAATAAAATACGAAATTGATAGTTCAGGTTATCAGCACTTCTGTGCAAGGTAGAAACATGTGATGTTTTCACGTTTTTTAAGTTTCATAAGTAATTCATATTTATCAATTCCAGACGCAGTCCCCTGAGAGTGTAACACAATACATAGCATGTCCAAATGATGGTAACTTTAATTTGTTGAACTAAATCCTTGCCAATTATCGAAATATTAGCTCCTGTTATTGAAAAGAACTCAATTGATATGCCCATTGATGCATAGTCCATTACTGTTGCCACTCACCGCAGAAATCTTTAGCGCTTTAAAATGGGGCTTTTAATAGCAAACTCCGGTCCGCAATATGGTCATTCATTTTTTTCTGCGTCCGTCCTGAATAATGGTCTTATTTTCAGTGCCCTGGGGTGTTCTGCAATTCTTTCGCACGCTACCTTCAACTCTCAGTTCAGGTTTCTTATCACTGTTTTTCCATCTCATAGCATTTAATTGTCTGTTTAAATCGTCTTATTGTTCGTGCTGTGGGGTGTTCTGAAGTTCCTTCGTATGTGGCCTTCAGCACCGCAGTTCCAGCATTTTAGGGTTTGTTTCCTTCGACTCCTATTCCGTCTCAAGGCACTGACTGTATTGTCAAATCGTCTGTTTTATTTTGTATGCCCTGGGGTGTTCGGCAGTTTTTTCGTATGGGGCCTTCAGTACCACATTTCCAACACTGTAGAGCCACTTTGTTCTCACTCCTACTCCGTATCAAAGCATTGACATGTCTACATAAATATTCTAAACGAGCCATCAATTTATCGACTGGCTCGTGGACTCACACAGCTCTGAATGGGTGGAGATGTCTTCGAGTTGCTTGCTGGGCTGCCTCGAATTTCATGGCATACTCTAGAGCATTTTTTATGTCCTTGACACAAGGCACTCGCAGAGCTTTCTGTATTTCAGGATTCCGGATTACGTCGATAAAGTATTGCAGGGACAGGATTTTCCTTGTATCTGTCGGGCACTCCGAAAAAGCGAGGTGAAGTAGCCTTTCAACATTCGTGACGAGCTCCTGGAGTGTTTCGGCGGGCTTCTGTAAACGGGATTTTAATTTACAAACCTTTCTCCCCAAAGCGCAGCTCCAATGCGCCGGACAGAGGTTTGAAATCTAGCCTTTTGTTTTCGGGAAGAGTCTCAAGGATATCTGTGCGTCTGCTCTCACAGAAGCGGCGAGATGACAGGCCTTAGCTTGGGAACCCCATCCATTCGCTTCCGCCACTATAGAAATTTGTATCTTATACACTTACTAGGAGGACTTCACATCATATGTGATTAGCTTTAGGGGCGAGCAGGCGTAGGTAAAAATTTAAAACCATCACTACTCCTCCCTGACGTCGCTGAGAATTTCTTGAAGGTATCAACTTCATTGGCGACCGCAGTAAACCCGTCATCAATCTGCTGTTCCACGGCAGATACTCATCTTCTATTTGTTCGTTTACAGAAGAAACTCTTTCTTCAGTGTGTCCAACTTTATTTTCAACAGCTTCAATTCTGCCTTCCATACCCTCGAATTTGTTCTCTCTTAAGCAGATAATTTTTCTTTTCATCTCCTCTTGGCCTGCTCCAGATCTTTCTTGAACCGTCTTCATTAATTCTTTAACGGATTCTTGCCCGCTTTATCCTCTTCCTGACCAGTTTCCATTTCTTGTTTAACAAAATTTATGGCTCCTTCCATTTGTTCTTGAAATGCAGCAAATGCAGTTATCAACTGCCTTAATTATTCTTCCATCACTCTAGTGACTGGTATTCAACTCCACTCCCCACGCCAAAAAGTGTTGCATGCGTACGGCTTTCTAATAGATTGAATGCACAAGTCCGGTAAATAGTTAACAAAATTTATTCCTATCGTAAGAAATATAACAGAACGCTGGATTATTCCTCAAAGACATTCATACAATATCTCAATATCGCGTAATAAAAACAGTAGTTATATTTTAAGCTACTAAAACATTAAATAGAACACAATCCAAAGCGCAAAACTCATCCGATCTCACCACGAATTCACTACCATCAACAAACAACAGTTATCTAAACAAAAACTAATAAACAACTAAGCTGAGATGTTCTTGTCTGGCTTTTATAAGCTTTTTATTCAGCCATAAGAAGCTTCTGGTAATTTCTATTTTCTCAAGGTTCCTGGAAAGTAAAAGCAATTACGAGATGTCTATTTATTGAATGCGCGTGCCCAAGTATTCTTACTTTTTCGGCGTAGCTTTCTCTTAAAACACTTCACTCGCTGCATTGGACGGGCAAACGAATCAATTTTAAATACGATTCTATTAAAAATAGCAAACTAGATACAAAATACCGTAACAAAATACATTTTTATTTGTCTATATCAGTTGTGTAAGATTTGACTAGTAATATTTACATCTGTTACAACGTATAAGAATATGCAGACACGCTTACGTATCCGACTTTGAATACTTGCATTATTCTTCGAAGTACTAATTAGTACCTCTGGTTAAACGCATTTCGTAAAAATAGGCATATTTTGAAAATTTTCTTAATTTTGCCCACAAGTGTATAACGAAGTATTTAGTAATACAACAGCCGCATAAATATATTAGTTTCTTATGCCGTTACTAATATTATGATATGGTAATCGTGATTATAATTCGAATGTTTGCCTTAATTTTATATTCTTAATCTGAATCCGAGGATTTATTACCTGTTGTTAAACGATATTAATTTTCACAGTCATTTTCAAGCAGCCTAAAGAGGTTTTCATAGATTTCTAAAATGAAAGGAGTATTCATTTATTATTTTTATATGGAGAAATTATGTTATGAAGCAAATCCTTATTATTTAGATTTTCTGTAGCAAGGAACATGTTTTTATCTTTTAGGCAGAATTCATGATTGGCTATATTCTTGAGTATCTCCCAAGTATGCTGGAAAAAACTAATTGGCTGAGTGAAAGAACTAAGACTGCAGCCGTAGAAAAGGTTTTGTAATATTCACTTTTTATTTATATAAATACATTTAATAGTTTTTTATGAAATTACACCTATTTTGTTACACGTTTCTTATGCAAGAATGGTGTAAATCCGAAAGGCAGTGACTATAGGGTGTCTCTAGTAGTTGTTGCTAAAATTAACATGCTTGTCTGTCATATCAAGACAAACAAGACTTGCCTAGAATTCTACGTTCGAAAAGGCGAACAGTGATCTCTAGCAAAGAAGTGTTAATTTGACCTTTATTACAGAACATGGCTAGATCACAGGAAATGTTCAATATTCCTTCTATTCGTCACAATACATGCTTCAGAACATCAGCGCATGGATTCATGGGCACATTCAAATTGTGCAGTTGCGTCGTTTACATGTGCCGCCGCTTCCACGATCATGGAGACAAGTTCCATGTTCTATGTTACGATCGTCGCCTACAGCATGGACTTCATGTATCTCCACTAATAGAAATCCAGGACAGTGAGATGGGGAGATTGCTGTGGCTATGCAACTGATTCGCCTCTGCCAATCCAGCGATTAGGATATGTTCTATCGAGGTATTCCCGCACAGTGCTGTTAAATTGTGCAGGTAGTCATCATGCTGAAACCAGAGGTTTCGGTCTGCATCTTCTGTCAGTCAACTATCAGATCTAGGAACACTCTTTCTAAAAACGTGCGATAGACTTTCCCGTCGAGGCCAAGTCACCGATGTTGCAACGCTGGTGACTTCCGTGTGCACTTGTACACCTTAAGGTTTCATGCGACCACACGTGTATGTTGTGCATGTTTAGGACACCGTCACATGTAAAAATGGCTTCATCGGAAAACAAAATCCACGATGGAAAATCCAGCTGTGCGACAAGTTTGTGCAAATACCAGTATGCGAATCCAACGCATGGGGTTTAATTATCATTCGCACAACGCCTGTAATGTTTGAACATGGCAGGGATGTAGCGTGTCCTCGTGCAGTATGCGTATAACGGTGGAACGATGTACGCGAAACGCGCTCGGTTGCTCAGAGACTCGTTTGCGGTCTCGCCTGAACCCATAGCAGAGCTTTCTTTGCGACAGTTGCGCGTGTAGTGCATTCTCGACCATTCTCGACCGATATGGCTACTTGTTTGGAAAGTTCTTGATTTTTGCAATCTGTCCAAGCAAAGCACGAATTGCTGACGTTTATTTCGGAAGCGCTAAAGGGACATTCGTGCCGCGGCCTGTCTATTTCCATCTGTGGAACCATAGATGTAATGCATATCGGCCAATTCTGAGTTAGTAATTCTTCATTCTTCTACAACAAGCTTTTGACTCTCTCATAAGTTTGCGAACATCGCCCTCTAGCTGTCGCCATTCGTAGTTTCGGACACGAGTTACTATGTAAATCTTGTTTGTCATGGTATGACAGACTAGCATGTTAAGTTTGGTAATGACCTTTTGAGACATTCTGTACATTTTTAGATTAGAAGATCTGTTTAAGTTTTCTCATGCCTTAGAAAACGGCATCAGAACATAATAAATAATTCTGGAAAACTAAAGTTATATTAAAAAGCAATATATCAGCAATACAGTCCAATCAAGCTTGGTTTTCGAAAGCTAGAAGGACAACGAACGCACTAGAAGCCTTAGAAGAGGTATGTATGAAGATGCTGCTGAAACTGAGTAGTCTAAGTTTTTGCGGTTGAAATTGTTATCATTACCTGAAAAAAAAAATAAGAAAAACAATACAGATCCCACTGATGTGGTGTAAAGAAATGTTCGTAAAGTAGGAGATACTTCCACTTAAAACAGTGGTAACAAACAAGAGGCTTGAAGGATAATATGCATTATCCTAGGTCGTTTTCTGCGGTCTTCGGGAAAATTAACAAACATTTAGAGTATTCGAATGGGGAAAAGCACACATGGGCTGTTGCCCGAAAGGAGGGATAATTTGATGAAGGATTTTCAAAGGCCAACAGGTTCGTGTTCACGTCATGCATTGGAAAAAACACAGAAACTAACCATGCAATAAATCTGAATGCAGTTCCATTATTCAACCGTCAGCCATTCATTAGGCCACTGGTGGGACCAAAATTAACAGTATTTGTCATGTCGTGTTACTTATTCTTCAGATTAAAGAAATTTCACAGCAGATTTTTCAAGTACTGCATTAATTTTATTCATGTATGCGATAATGGCATGACACTGATTATCACTTGCTTTGCTGTGTATTGACTAACAAGAGATGAAATACACCTGCATCTTTCCCTTGTAAGGTGATATGTAACACTTTTGTATTCAAAGAAATAACACGTTTCCAAGCAAGTTCAATAACCTCTTTCTTTTAGAAACATTTTTCTATTTTTACTTCCTTGCACAAAGTATTGTAATCGCAAAAAATTTCGGGTATTATATTTCAACAGAACATCCATTCTGATCGCTATCGAATACAATATAGCGGTGTTTTGCTTCACATCTGCACATAAGGACAGAATAAAGGATTCTTTTCTCAAAACATGATTCATAAAGAATTTAAAATGGATCCAGAAGAGAATTTTTCGTGCGTACGTACACAAGTAAGGATATATGTATGTATCTCTTTTAACTAAAAAAGAAAAACAGTTGAAATTTTGTATATAGAACTGCTATAACATGTAGGTGTGCAACTTCCTTTGCACACCTTTTTTACTTTTTGATTGCAATCGACTGCATCAAAAGTACAGAAATACATATATATATATATATCCATTCTGTTATTCGGCTCTGTGAGCTCAGTACTTTTTATTTTTATATATTGGTAAACTATGCAATTTGTGCTTTAAATATTAGTGCATTAAGTTGTTCTTATGTTCCTGTTAAGGTTTTTATGCCTTTGGTTAATATGCATGCAATATATGTACGATTATAAACAAATTAAAAGTTGCTTAAGTGCAGCTAAGCCTTAGATTTTCTTACCATAGCAGCCATATTTGTTTGCATATGAAATTCAGCATAATAGTGAATCAGGTTACTTTGTGCACATTCAGTTTCTTTTTGCCGAGTGGAACCAAAATAGTTTTGTGCTCCGAAATAGTTTTGTGCTTTTGTGTTTTGAATTCCGAAAAGTTCAGTTTTGTGCTCCGAAAAATCTGCCTTCGTCGAATAGCTTGTTTCTGCGTAGAAATTGTTCTTTCAGTTGTATTAATTGTATTTTGTGTTTTATGTTTTTCTATTTAATTATTAATTTTTAATTTTTAATGAAGATATCTTTAAGTTTTATGTATTTTACCTTGCCGCGAAGTGAGAGCTGAATTAATTGAATGAGAAATATATCTGTAATGAAATTCAAGAAAATGAGTTTGAATGAAATGCAGCAAAAAATGATTATTATTTAATATTCCGTGCAAGAAAGGCATGTGATATACACAACAGATTTTGTTTTATACCAAGATCATGTGAAGAAGGTAAATAACTACAATACTATTTATATAAATAAAGAAAAGTTATATAATAAATGACAAATATATACCCACTGAAAGATGATAAAATGTTATTAACAAATAATTTGACTTGCGCTGCTGTCCAACTATATATTCGTACGGTTTTGAATTCCGAAAAAGTTTAGTGAATATCATACGGAATAATTTTTACTACCATTTTAATTTGTATTATAGTTCCAGAAGAAAGTTTTAATTTTAATTTTTCTTATATTTTTCTCCAGAAAAATTTGACGTGACAATTATTTGATTAAATATATATATATATGCCATCTATTTCCTCTACATGCATTTATATAATGAGAGATTATATACATGATCTGTAGATAAAACATAGGTGCAATATCTTTTAAATCAGGAATGTCAAACTCATAGGTACACTTGGGCCAAACAAACAAGGTTTAACTTTAGGCGGGCCGCATGATATATTTCTTCAAAAATATTCTAACAATATCACAAAATGTCAAACGTTTAGCAAAAATCAATTCAAAACAGAGAAACTAATTCTATCTCACAGCGAAATCGCTACAAATCAATCACAGCATTAAGTAAACAAACAGTTCGCTAGAACTACAGCTACTACTGAGATGAGTTGTTTGTTCTCGGCTTTTATAAGCTTTATAATTCATTTCTCGAATATACTGGAAACATCTATAAATATCTGGATTTTTGTGGATGGCAACAGCAATTACGAGATATCTATTTATTAGGTATTAAATGCACGCGCTGTTCTATTTTTAACCTTCCAACGCAGCTGTCTTTTCAAAAATCGTCTGCGTTGCTAAGGCAACATGAAGCAAATCTAATTACAATTCTAAATAAAAAAAACTAAATAAATAAATAACTATGAAATCCGTAACAATATGAATTAAGTAATAATTAATAATAAAGCAAAGTGCATGCACATGCATGCACCATTATATCGTACAAAACTATGATTGGAAAACTGAGACCATGAGTTCGGCCACATTCGGCTATCGGGGGATGCGTACAAGTTCTGAGTGCACGTGTCCCCCAAAAGCAGAAGGTAGCTGAACGCAAGCTACTCACATGCATTTGTAATTTAAGTAGCGTGCATGTCAGCTCGCTGTGAGTAATATAACAACACTGAATGTCGTTAATTACTTAGCAGTAAACATTTAATTTTTTTCTTCGTCGATATGTTATTTTATTATTATATATTATTATTTACCGATATATTGGCCAGGCCGCAAAAATATTTGTTGTGGGCCGCATGCGGCCCGCGGGCCGCAAGTTTGACATCATTGTTTTAAATGAATGCATAATTTACAAACATATAAGAACAAATAAATTGAGCTCTCTGAGCCGAGTAACAGAGTCAATACATATATACATATATTTATATACTTTTGGTGGGGCGATTGCAACCAAACTAGGAGTGTAAAACTACATATTATAGCAGTCATATATACAAAAGTACAATGTTTTCAGTCTACTCGTTGAGTTTTACGAGATAAATACCTACGGACGGACGGACGCGACGAAAACCTTTCTTCTGAATCCCTTTTAAATCATTTTTATAATTTGTTTGAGGAAATAGAGTTCTTTATTCTGTCCTTACGTAGAGATGTCACGCCAAAACATCGTTCAATTACATTCTACAGCGGTCAAAATGGATATTTTCGTCGAAATAGGATACCCGGAATTTTTCATGATTACAATACTTCCTTTACTTCGTACATGAAATTAAAAAGGTATCTCAGAATTGTCTGTGAAGTCCTATACCTGCAGATATGTTTAATAACAAATGTACTAATTTATCTTAATTTTGTAGGCCACTGCATTAACTTATCGGATTGGATTACCTGATGTGTTTCTGAATGATTCTATTGTCTCTGATCAGTATAAAAATGTAAGTACCTTTTTAGTATAGAGATTTTCTGAAGCAATTAACAAAACAATTAATGTTTTAATCTATTATTCGTATATTTTATTTCCTTCTACAGTTGCAATTTGGCAACGAAAATTATTTCATGAAAATACTAAAAGTGCGCAGATGGTTAACCTATTCCTCGTTGTCTAGTCTTCGAAAACCTTTTGTAAAAGAAGCGTATGTATTTATTCAACTTTGCTAACTTCATAATTGATTTGATTTCTTATCAGCTCCTTAAAAATATATTTCAAATATAAAATGTTAATCAGAAAACCTTTGATAACAATTATGGTATATCTAATCAGAAGCAGCTAATGTATTTTCTTCTTTCATTGCACCAACTACCTTGAAAACAATGCAGGGAAAGTGTCAATTACTACTTCCCCTTTTTTATGGTTTTAACATTTATTGCATCTTTCATATACTTTACCACTGTGTTTCGGACTTTTTTATTATTCCATATGGTTTTTTTCGAATTGAATGCGTTATGGATTCTAAACGTATTAATTTATTTTATTTCTTGATTATTGATAGTTCTTGTTGCATTCGTTTTTTAACTGCATTTTACTTTGTATTTATTCATTTACCTCTCTCTATATATACATATACATATAAAGAGGAAAGTCTGTGTTTGTCCTCTCATAACTCTATCACTACTTTAGCTATCGTCACTGTCAATTAAAAACTCGGAAAAACGATAATTTTAACCCTAATTTTTCCGAGTGAAAGCAGTCTCGGAAAGATGGAGATGAAAACCTGCTTTATTTCGAAAGCTGTTGCCACTGCTCGCTTTCAAATCCTAGAATTTGCTAATGAAAAATTTCTAAGTTTTAAGATGAAATAAAAATAGCATTGCCAAACAATAGATATATTATTCCCGATTCCAAAAATTCGTGGGAAGCCATTTCGACTACCATTTTCGTATGACTTAATTCAGCCGAAATATTAATTAAAAACTCTGATAGCGCTAATTTTTGCACTCATTTTTTCGAGCGGCAACAGTCTCGCGCGTTGATGATTTAAAATGATTTATTTCGAAAAGTGTTGCTCGGCTCTCTTTCAAATCTTAGAGTTTGCTAATCCAAAATTTGTAAGTTTTACAAAATTTTTCAAAAGGAAGAAAAATTGCTGTTTGTGTGTTTGTTTGTTCGCGTTTTTGATTTCTGACCGATTATGATGAAAGTTTTGCCACATTTACTCGAATAAAATTGAATATAGGGGAAATATTCGATGGAACTTGAGCTTTTACGACCAAAGACGAAAGAAAGTCATTAAAAACTGCGTGCCATTGTTGCTGATAGAATGAGGAATAATTAACTTATTTTTCTATCGAAATTTATGTGGGTTCCATATCGCATCCCACTGAAAAATGTATGACTATGAATCGTACGTTTTGCATCGTTATTAGAAAAGGATTACCGCGGTATCGTTCTCTACGTTGTTAGATGCATTACTCTCAATCTAACTTAACTGGTATCGGATACTTCCGCTAGTATGTATATAATATTAAGCTTCCTTTTGTATTTGTGATATGCCTGACCTAACGTTTTTGCGTTTATTGTTGCAAAGAACAAATAGATAAAAATGATAAAAAGGCAAGATCATTAAAAGGCAAGATGCAATTTGTTGTTTATTTTCCGCATCAACTGCAATTAACGTTTGAGATGGAAACAGCCTAACTTTCTCAGTCTGCTACTAAAAATGAAACAAAATTGGCATGACCATAAGAATTTTTTTATTTACACAAGGTTTCTGCAATACCAGAATTTTTTTCTACATTTAAACGCAAAGAATACCTAAGGATTTAGAAAAGAAATTTATTTTTGTAGTCAGATATATACTCTCATTTAAGATACGTTTAAAACGTTTCAGTTTTGAATGAATGAGAAAACGAAATTCTTACATTATTTCTATGAATGAATCATATTCAAAAGCTTTCTTTCCAAACTTCAGTTTTTACTTAATAAAATTAATGTAACGTATATGAGAATTCTGTTACTAAAATGTGGAACATGATTTTTCATTGAAAACTAATTATTTGCAGATGGATGGAACATACAAGAGAAACTGACGCAAATGCTTATTATGATATATACAGGAACCTCATTGGTGAACATATTTAATTTTTATTTCATGATTACCTTAATCTTATCGATTTCATAAGAATTATTATAAGCTTCTATTTAATTTGCTCCCCGTGTTTTACATTGAATGGAATACTGTCATCGACTATCAGCCTTTCAGTGATAAGCTATCGAGTTCAAATTTTGTACATGCACTGCTTGTCGATGACAATGCAATGCAGTGAAACCACGTTTTAAAAATTTGATTTAGATTATTTTATTGAATAGTTAAACGATTTTTCAAGCATATTTTTGTTTAAGAGAATAGTGAACATTGAATTTTTTAAAAATTATTATCATGAAGATATGAAATTTCGCAATCATATTTTAGCCTAGTTATATCAAATAATTTTAAAATATTTCTGGCTTATTAAATTTTAAAATAAGTTTTAATTTTATTTTTTTTCAAAATGCTCCATGCGTCTTATTTTTTAATTTCTTGTTACTTTTGTCTTATTTTTATTGAAAATGCTTTTGAAACTGAACTTGGTATCAATTTGTGAATTACATAAAACGTTAATTTTTAATTAATATTTCTTTTATGCATGCCTAAATTTGGGACAAAATTTCGCACTTTAAAGCATCTTAATTGGGATTTTATTCCCTTTATGATTTCGCCCTGAAGAATGCATATCAAATTTTGTTATACAGGGGATTCAGAATTAATCATCAATATTTGGTGGGGAGGTAGGGAACAGGAAAAGTAGGAGATTTCACACAAAAATGCATGGGCGCATATGCCATGTAGTAGGGCAAAATGACCCCAGTTCAATGATGGAAAGGACACATAAGAAGGAAGTTGTAAGGGAAAAAAACATTTATCTTACATGTAACATTCATTTGCATCGGTTTTTTTTTTCAGACTTACAAGATGTGCTCGAACTGCCAACCATGTCTAGAATGCACGACTCACAACTTCGTTGCATAGACAACCGGACCTTCTGGACTATACCTGGCATTTCCCGGATGTTTGCGACAGCAACCGATATCCGTGTTACAAGGTCCGTAGCAGTATCAACAGGGGTCTCATACAACATGTTTTTCATAGCACCCTATACAAAGAGTGAGTGAGTGAGTGAGAGGTTATTGGCGCAAAACCAAAGATGGTTATAGCGCGCCAAACACGAAATGGGATGATTACAATTGATCAAATTAAAATACAATAAATAAAAACAAGTGGACAAATGTACCAAATCCAGAGGATGAAGTCATATAAAAACAAGTTAAAAGCACACATTAAACCGTATACAAAGAAATTGATTGGACATAAATCCGGTGAATGTGGTGGCCAAGAAACCGGTTCACCGCGAGCAATGCATGGACCTCCAAACTTTCTGTTTAGGTAAGCACTCAGAGCATTTGCGAAATGTGCAGGTGCGCCATCATACTGGAACCACATTTGCCGGATAATACCATCAGGAACCTCGTTCAGAAGAACCGGTAGCACAGCCTGAAGAAATGTCAGGTACTTGACACTGTCCAAACGGGACGGTGGTAAAAACGGGCCCAACAAACAGGCACCAACAATCCCAGTCGACACATTGACAGCAAAACGTTGTTGCGCAGCTCCATGTCTTGTACCTTGTGGGTTCTGATGAGCCCACACATGCGAATTGTGTGCCTTGAAGACACCCTCTCGAGTGAAAAACGCTTCATCGGTGAAAAGGGCAAACGTTGGGCAATTGGAATCAATGGCTGTTTTCTTCATGAACCACTGACAAAAAAATAGCACGCTTGGGATGGTCGTCTACTGCTAGTAATTGCACTGTTTGCATATGAAACGGATGTGACGTTTCATCGTTTAATATCAGCTACGCTGTTGCTTGCGAAATTTCAAACCGCCTAGCCATATCTGGAATATCCACTAGGCTGCTCGTAGATTTCCTGTAGAACAGCTTCTTCTACTGCTACAGTCCGTGCCGATCGGTGCCCCCCTCGATTAACATTGCTAGCAGCAAATGATTTTGTTTCATACAGTTTTCGATGGATAGGTAAAAACATTTGATGCTGTGGCACAGGGCAGTTGGGGAAGCGCGCTGCATACAATTGCCTGGCTCGAAGACATCTTCCTCCTCCCACACCGTAAGTTGCAAGTTCATTCCACGTACACCGGTTCATGTTACTTCTGAAAAGTCATCTAGTCGAATGACGACTGATTGCACGCAGAATCATCGCTTCACATTCAGGTACCAACTACTAGCGAGATATGACCTGTAAATCAAATGATGTCTATGGCCTTTCACTTTGATGTAATTAAATCAGTGGGTGCACATACACCGCCGGCCGCAGGCGAGAAAAAGAATGACCGAAGTCAATCATCAATGGCTGGAACTAGGTGAAGTAAGCGCTGGTAAGCAGTAGATCTTAAAGCAGTAGTTCACATTTTTTCAGTCCAACAAGTGCAGTCCTGTGGTCGATCAACATCTTCTTACTCTTCAGATTCGTCTAATTTCATCAATGTTATTTGCAGCGTTAAAACCGGCAAATAATGTCTCTGCTGTAGTGTTAGCTTTATGGATCTTTTTCTACTTATGAGATAATTATCCTAAGGAATATGTTAACTTGTTTATCTCTGAGCCAATCAAATGCTACATTTGCTTCATCCGGCAGAGGCTCGGACGTTTTCTTCAACTTCTCGCTGTAAAGAGATTTTTCGGGCTTCTTCTGTTTTCCTTCAACTGATTGCTCGCGTCAAACAGCTGTGCTTATGTATGAGTTGTGTACATACAGCGCCCTCTACACCAACACGAGTTCGTCTGCATCCATGCTTCCTATGTGAAATCTGCTTCTTTTCCTATTCCCTACGTCCCCAACAAATATTGATGATGAATTCTGAATCACCCTGTCTGTATACTCAGGGAACCAAATTACAAATTACGCTCTTTCTGTACAAAAACTAAAGCGCATGGAACATTCTGAAGATATCAGGAAAATTTTATTTTGAGAAAAATACATTTTAAGAATATTTTTACGCTTACCTTTAATACTTATAGTATGTTCCAATACATATCTTTATTTAACATCAAATATTTTAATATTGTTTTATTCATGCATAAATATTTTTCATTCATAAAATAATCGAAGGGTGCAAAATACTTCAATATTATTTTGGAAATTTTCTCAAACAGCTTCGGTAAATTTAACTAAATATTTGTTTTAAGCTATGAATAATCCTAAAAATTTTCCTGTTGCATAAGGTTCTCTTCTTTATTTATATTTTCATTATCTCTAACTACTTGGCTAATTTTCTTTTATCATTCCTCTTTTCTTATATTCGTGGTTTTCCCCATGTGTAACTTGTATACGAGCCAGTTTCCCTTAGAAAGTCCTCCACGAAGGCATCCCTCCCTTTAGGCAGATAGCCCTCGTGTGCTTTGCCATAATTGAATAGCCCTAGACCCCTTTTCTTATATTCCCTCGGATACTTCTTTTTACTCTGAAGTATGTAACATTTTTATCGCCATTGTGAATAAATACTGAACATGAATTTTTATCTTTTTACTCCATACTTTAAGTGTTTAGAGAACAAACTAAGCACATAAAAAATTTACAGCTTGCCCCTTCATCAAACAGAGCACAAAAAAAATCTTTTCAGTAAAATTTGTAACGTTGCGCGCCTCCAACTTGCACGCAACCAAGAGGTGACTGTGGAAACTGGATAAAACACCGAGTCTTGTGAAGGGTTTAAGTCCCTTTTTATTCAACGTAATAAATTACAATTGCGTGCTCTTGACGCTTACAGACGGCGCCAACTCGGCGGTCAAATAAAAATAATAACCTGAAAAGAAATTAAAGACAAGACTCTAACTACGAGGCTCTCTAAAATAACTAACTCACCGCGTTTTACAATACCGCTGCTAATTCAGCAGACTTGAAGCTCACTTGAACGATTAACACTACTTCCCGCCAAGCACATAGGCCGAAACGCGGGGTTCTTCAATTTCTCGCTAACTACCTCCGCGCTCGTGAAGTAAGAATATCACACACCGAACTCGTTTCCTTCTATTTAAATCATAATACTTCCGCTGATAATTTGAATCCTTGCGCGTTCTACTAAAATTTACATATTCTGGCATTGGCAGTTCCAGGGGAAAGTAAGGCTTGACAGGAAAGATAGTTTAAACTTAAAATAAATGTTAGTTAAAATAAATATAAACCCTACATTTGCCGCTGCCAGAATTTGGAAAACTTGGAAGCAGGTCCTACAAACGACCTGTTGTAAGTTTCTCTAATTCTGAACTAAATGGCGAGAAGCCTCGTTTACACACAAAAAAAAAATCTTATGTAACAAATTATATACTAAAATTTCTGTTGATACGTTATAAAGCTCTCTTCTTACAGCAACTTTTCCTGGACTTCATCAATCAATCTTGGTCTTTCCTTCCAGCATCTGGAAGGAATAAGTATCAGTATCTTTCTACAATACATTATAATTTACACTTTCTTGACACAATAAATTTTTGTTTTTAAACGATTCGTTTTTCTTAGTTATTGCTTACTTCACATTCATTCAATTTTTCAAGCATTAATTTAACTTTACCCTGGCTCTCCACCATGTGTGGTGTCAAACGGGAATATTCGTGTTTTAGTCTTACAACACTTCCCCTAACCACCATGATTTGTTAGAATTCAACAACCAAATAGACACACCTTACTCGACATTCTACAACTCCATGAGCTACTTTAATAGTCTTAAAAATTCAAATGTAGGTGGAGAACCCTACAAAACACATTCATTCTAACTTCCCCCTCATTCATCTTTAAACATGCAGGCTTTCGCTCTAAAGCATGACTTTATCTACAGTTTAATACTTAAATTTTGACTTCATTGCTTTTAAGCATTCACTTTTAGCATCTACAATTTTTATGCTTCTAGACTAAATTCTACTTTTACATAACATTCAAGTATTTACGTACATTTACAAAATTTTAATACATATGATTTTTACAATTTACCATAAAATGAATAAGAGAAAATAAATTTTT